GATAATCTTTTCTAGCCTACATGCAAACTGCGTTTTTAAATACAGGAACAAACATAGTTGTATTTTAAAAAAAAATAGTGTGTGTAAATAGACAATTTAATATAGAAACAAATAGCTTTCAATTAGCCTGTCTTCTTACCGGCAGAATAGGAAGGCAGGAAAACCCGTGCTTCTGATCGGTTGATCTTATCAGGATTTCACGCTGTCGTTATTGCTTGCATGTTCAGCGCCGCGCTTGGCTCTACGGACGGGCGATGTATGTACGCCATAAGCTTTGCGTAAGCTTTTCTCTTCCTTTATGCTTTTGCCGTAGAAGATACTTCCAAAATGCAAATTATTTTTCCGTATGCGGAAAGGGAGCTGGGAAGTTTGTCTGGACTTGGATGCTCACGTTTGTCTCTTGAACAGATCTGCGGTTTGTGTCGCTGCTTAATCTGCTTCGTGTTATCTGTGAGTCTTCCTCTTGGTCAAAGCAGAGCCCAGCTGGTGTGGAAGGGACTCCTGCTCCTAAGGCATTTTCCGATAAACCCCAGGAGATGCGCTGCATCGTCTCAAGATCTCACGATTAATTTGCAAGACACAGCATATATAATTAAGGAGAGATCAGGATATCGGCGGTATATAAATCCAGCTTTTAAAGCGAGGTTAAGATATGGGCACTCCAAGCTGATAACCTCCGTTCCTATTCTGTTTTGTGAAATAGTGCGGTATAGTATCTTGCGTCAGGCAAAATGAGGGTGGAATCTGGATATCCCGTTGGAGGAGCACGTATGGAAGTGGTTTTCCATCAGAAATAACACTTCCCTACGTGTGCGGTCAGACCTGGTCACCGCAGTGCTGATCGCTGTCCCTTCGCTCCTGTTAAATGCCTTTTCCTGAGCAATATCCCAAGAACTGAAGAGAAGCCCAAGGGGATGGAAATCCTAATGGATAGGAATCATACAGGTAATCTATCCGCAACATAAAGAAGCGGGGAACTGAAAAATACCTGGGAGGAATGGTGGAAGAGTCGTTTCTTGAATTGATACTAAAATAAGCATCTATTTGCTCCTCCAGAAAGCAGCTCCTATTGTTAACATCCTATTGACCAGTGCCGTTACGTGAGGTCAATCGGGGTGAAAGCCCCGGGTGTGCAGAAAAATGCATTGTACCGGATCACCCACGGGCTTCAGACCTCACGTTTTAAGCACAAATTACGGGTTTTTTTTGGTTGCCCAGAGAATCTCCTTAATAGAAAGTGAGGCGGCAGTTTCTGTTCGTCCTAATACCACCACCAAAATGAGAGCAACGGTTGACAAAATGGACTTGCCATGCTTTTATGAAAATTTAATCATTGGTTTTGGATGAACAGATATGTGGCTGTTTTTATACAAAGTTACCAGCAATCAACCGTGAGGTTAATTATTGAGAAGAAATACTAATGGCATTGATTAAGCAGCATCCCTTGGGGGGGGGGTTCCCCTCCTTGTTCCCTGATGCTGCATGATGTGACAACTTCGATACGTGTAAAATTGTGTAGGTGCCCGTAAGTGCTCATTCTGCCCGTCCTTGAAGACAACTTTCCATGTCAATGATGAGAGAAAGCCAATTTCTAGCACGGGGCAGGACCGTCGCCGCTGCTTCGGAAATACTCATCGCTGGGGCATTTGGGCAAACGGCTGATTTTTGCTAAAGCTTTCTGTCTTGTTCGTGGTTTAACTCTTCTCTTCTGTGGCTGTTGCTTCCCTCCGGGCTAGAGGGCTCCCAGAGACGCGAGAAGACCTAGTCGAGACCTTGCTAATGAGCCGAACGGAGTTAAACCTTCTGCCTTGGCACGCTCTTCCCAAATGCTTCCCAGGAGCTCTGGACGTGCTCTCTCGCTTCTCGGAAGGCCGAGGAGCTCCGTTACGCGTCTTCTCTCCCGTGCACCATCGCAAATGGCAATCACGTCGTACCTGCAGGAGGTTCAGCTACTGCCAAGGTTTCCGTGCGCCAACCGCTTTTGGGATAGAGCGCGTTACAAACATTTCGGTAGTCCCGAATAAACGGTCATGTGCAGGGGGTTGAGCAGTGGAGTAGACCTCATGTTTGGTGGCGATGGGGTCAGCGCACATCAGCGTGAACATCTGGCTTTGCAGCTCAGAGCCGCACTTCTTTATTCCTCGGCTGAAAAGGTTTGCGCTAAGTTGATTGAACCGCTTTGTCTAGAAGAAATAATACAAATTCTTTCAGATGCCCGGACTGCACCGTCAATTCGGGAGCCTCTCGGTAATCGAAGCAGCTGATTTCAAGACTAACTTGTAGATGTTCTATATTCTTACAGTAATTTTATCAATGCCATAAGGGCAGGGCGGTGTTAGTTATCCCGGAGACTGCGACAGCAAACAAGATGCTCGGAGGTGTGAGCGTTCCCGGGGCGCGGAAAAGAGGAAGGCAGAGGCTCTGCGGATTATCGTACGCGCTGATTCCGGGCTTATTCTCTTCACCTCCACGTGCAAATTAAAAACACGACGTAAAATATTTCAAGGAGCGAAAAGCAGAACTGGGGCATGGTAAAGCAGAACCCCGTGGGGCACGGTTCCGGTGTAGTCGGGGGGTTTTGCTGCACGTGTGAATTTTGGATGTGCACAAATCCCCACTTGCTACAGGGAAATTACTCCTCTTTGGGCAAAACGTGCTTCGTGGTGGCTCTTCCTTTAGTTGCAGAGGGGTGTTTTAGTATTAATTGCTTAAACTTTAGGCGAGTGGGTTATTAACGTACCCGAAAGGCCGTGGCGGTGAATGCAGCGGATACATCGCACAGCACAGAGGTTTTCAAGCTTTCGAGTGTCCCAACCCACTGCTGTTGCATGCTGTGCTGGAGAAGTGATATGTTATAAGAAACCGATGTTTTGCCTTTATGCTTCATGACCTCCTGTTCTCCCTAACGCTCTCTTTCTTTCTCTCTCCCTCTCTCTTTCTCTGGCCTTTTTTTTTTGTGTATTCGTTTCTTTTTAGAAAATGAGTGACTTTCTCTCCAGAGAGGATGTGGCTGCAGTGCCAGAGAGGAGCAGTGTTAACACTGGCGTTGCGCGGGAGGGCTCAAAGCGCTCGGTAGCTTTTAGTGCCACCCCAGTGCCACCAGCCACAGAGCCTTCTCCCGGCCGCGACTTCGCTGCTTCCTCCCTAAGCAGCGAGGAGGAGGAGGAGGAGGAGGAGGAAGAGGAGGAGGAGGCAGCTCCCAGCCTCCCCGCGAGCGAGGAGGACCTGAGATGTGGCAAGGGGGTTTGTGCGGATGCGGAGAAGGAGTGGGAGCTCTCGGAGCCGGAGCCCCCCGCCAGCTCTGCCGCACCTCCCCACCAGCCCTGGGGAGGAGAGGAGGAGGAGGAGGAGGTGGCAGAGGATGGCGAAGACAGATTTGCCTTTAGAGAGCTAAATGGCGAGTGTCACGACTCAGATGTTAATAACGGGCTGCCGGCGGTCATTCGCTGCTTCCAGGTAGTTGAGCTCCAGCGCCCGCTCCCCGACACCCCCCCGCCGGCTTGGAATTGGGAACCCAAACACTGCAGCAAGCAGATGCCACACGTGCCCAGAGAGGAGTCGTGTTTGCTTGGCTCGGACTCGTGCTTGGAGCTAATTAGCCGGTTCATCTCCCGCAGTCGGTGCACACGAGCCCCTCTCAATTTATCTCGGCGTTAAATACGAACCCCTCTCAATTTATCTCGGCGTTAAATACCGATTGCCGCAGCGCAAGTCCCTTTGCCTTTTCTTTGAGCAAAGCACCCTGTTGCCTCCCCCCAAAAGGGAAATATTTAGGCTCCAAAGGCACCTAATTTTAGTTCCTTAAGGTTTTTGCCGTCTCCTGCTATACCGGAGGCTGAGCCTCAGCGCAGCAGAGCAAATTTGAAGCACTGTCACACGTGCTCTTACATGGCGAACGTGGGCTTCGACATCCCCTTTCTGCGCCCCACCGTGGGAGGTGTTTTTGCCTGCTTCAGTGTTGATATGAATTGCTTACGGTCGAATAGGTGTCCACTTCCCCTGCTAACAATCACGGTGGCACCCGCCAGGTTTGGGGACGGTGAGCAGAAATCGAGCTCTCGGGGAAAACACTGTGGGTCTGAACTAACTCTGTCGTCTTCTGGATCGTGATCAGGTGGTGGAACAACTGATTTCTCTTCCCCCTCTTCTCCCCCGTTTCTCTTCCGAGATATCGTGGTTCTGTTTTGTCTGACATTGATTTAATAAAAGTTCAAGACGTAGGATCCGATGAGGGTTTTTAATAATACAGTGTTTCATTTGCAGTCAGGATGAAGCTTCTCAGCTGTGATCACGTCTTTGTTTGCCCGGGGTTTGCGTTAATCTTGACATTGTCAGCAGTAGATGAGGGTCATCTTTTACTGGCAGCTGGCAACGAGCTTCTAGTAATTAGAAAGTTAATAATCGGCGGAGACGGTTTCTTTGTGGTATTGTGACACACCGATTAAACCCTTAATGCCTGCCTTGGGCTGACCCGAGGGCACGACGTCTCGGTTTAATCCTCACGCGTGATCTCTGCCCTCTGAGCAGTGTGTCGTACCGGAGGCTTAAAACCAAAGATTTCCAGGCTGACCTTGGTTCCCACAGTGCTTTTATCAGATCAGTGTCAGAACGTTTGCCAGCAGCACGGTCACGACGTGGAAATGCTAACTGGGTCTTTATGGAGATGTTTTTCACCCTCTCTCACAGCCACCGCTGGTGAAGACACAGACCGTCACCATCTCTGATGTCTCTAGCGCCGTCAAAAGCGAAATTCCCACAAAAGAAGTCCCCATCGTCCACACGGAGACAAAGACCATCACCTACGAAGCTGCACAGGTAAGGTGTGTTCTGATTAATTTTCCAGGGGCTTAATTAAACTCAAGTAATCCTTTTTTGTTTCCGAATCCTCGGGATGAGACAGCAGCCCCTGCCTTTCCCCAAGCGTCTGAGTCGCAGCACAGACGCTAACCAGTTTTATGGGTTATATTTCCAGGTGCATCTGGTATTTTTCGAGGAGCAGGGGTTTTACTATCCCTGAAAAGTAATTATTTTTTTTTCAAGCGTGCATACAGAATTTATCTTCAGCCACTGGTGGCTTTGGGATGTAGATTAGACTACACAGAGTTAACCTGAGTTGGCCTTTTTTCTGCAGGAGGTGCGTTGTCTTGCTTTCCTCGGCTCTCCTGGCTGTTGATGCCTCTTCAGAATTCGGTTTATAAATGATTTTGAAAAGGTTCATGGATTGTCCTTTAGGTTTCAACCCTGAAACAGGTCTTGAAAACTGAAATGAAATGCAACCAGAGCGGGTATCTGGTGTTTGGAAACTAGAAATGTTAGTGGAGCAATACTAACATAGGCAGGTATGGTTTCGTTGCAGAGGTTAAAATTAGTCTTCAGTCTAAAATAGGTTTTATTCATGTATTTGAGAATTTGGAGACTGTTTTAGCTTGTGTTTGTCATAACCGTGGTTGTTAGAAGCAGCCGATGCTCTGCTCTTGGCGTGTAGTGACCGTGGGATGTCGGTTCGCGTGTGGGTATCCCATGGACCATGCTTGTATGATTTGGGATTCCCGAGGAATCCCGTGGCTGCTCAGCATCCTCCCCGGTCAATCACGGGAGCAGAGGGGACGTTCAGACATGCCTGCACCGGGCGGTGGTGAGCATCGCCCTGTTTCTCAGCGAGGGACTGAATAGAGGAGTTTGGCTCTGGTTACTACTCTCACCATTCCTAACTGGGAAATGAAAAGTGCGTTTGCGGGGCTGGGAGAAGTCGGCCCTGCGTGCACCGGCTTGTGACGTGCCATGGGATTTCTTCCAGTCTGTGGAATATGGTCCCACCTTGTGGTAACTCCAGATATCGTCCCGCTGCCGTGCTGGGGATGCTGCCCAGCGTTCGGTCGTGGTGCACCCTAAGGGAGACACGGCCGGGATGAGTTGGCAGGGGGGCTAATTTTAGGGTTTTTGGCGGAGCTTGAAAGGTGGAGTCGTGCAGGATGGGAACCGAGTACCCAACTGTAAAAGAAATTGTTCCGAGTTCAGCAAATATTTGGGCTTGGATTGCTTCTGCAGAGTTTAAAGTGAGTGATGTGCAAGGTGTTGTCGGGAGGGAGGAGGGGTTAGAAAGTACCTTCTGAATCGGGTTGTGCTCTCTGCCTTTGTGAACCTCCGTGGATCCAGGCGGGTGTAATTTGGGATGGGGCTCTGCTTTGGTTTCCCTTCATGGTGCAAAGGATGCAGCTTGGCACGGAGGAGCGTGACCGGCTTTGCAGTGTACCCAGATGTGGGTATACCCCCACCCGCCTGCTCTGAGGGGTGTCACGGGTCCTGCCTGGGTGATTTTGTGGCTCCCTGCATCTCCAGCATTAAGGTCCAGGGCCTTTGTGCTGAGCCTTCAGGGACCTGCACAGCCCTTGTGCTGTGGATCAGCTCGTTCTGTCCCACGGTCCATGACCGAGAGGAGTTTCTGTCCTCGGGTCGCGTCCTGCTGTGTTGATGTGGAGACCCTGTGTCTGCCCACGCTGCCCGCAGACTGACGGTCTGTTCTTCTGCCCCACAGACAGATGGTGGCAACGGAGATTTAGACCCTGGCATCCTGCTGACTGCTCAGACCATCACTTCGGAAACCACCAGCAGCACCACCACCACACAGATCACAAAGGTAACAGCACGGGAACATGATAAAACAACAACTAAAACAACAGCACAGCATCCCAGACTGGTGGGGGCTGGAAGGGCCCTCTGGAGCTCCCCCATCCCACCCCCCGCCAGAGCAGGGGCACCTCCAGCAGTGGCACAGGACGGCGTCCAGGCGGGTTTGGGATGGCTCCAGAGGGGGAGACTCCCCCACCTCTCTGGGCAGCCT